TCTCTTTCTCTCTCTCTCTCTCTCTCAGCCCTCTCTCTCTCTGTCTCTATCAGCTCTCTCTCTCTCTCACTCTCTCACTCTCTCTCTCTCTTCTCTAAGCATACATTATAAGTTCAATCGGACTCGAAGAGAACGTTCAAAAGTATGTGAATTTGTAAATAGAATAGAAAGAGTACAGGTCTCAGAGCGCGCCAGAAAAAAATGTTCTTCGAGACGTGTTGAGTGGCAGTAACGAAACACAACCAAGTGAGTGTAATGTATATAACACACTAAACTCCGACACAGGATAGACAAAAATGGTGATTAGATTGAGGAAGACAATTACGACAGAGATATATACGAAGTAATCGAAAAATGATATCATGATGAGAATGCTACGCTTGTGACTAGTCTGGTATGACATACTCTTTGGAACAACAACTTTCCCAGAATATTACCTGTATTATGGAACTTTGATAAAAATAAAACAAAACAACAACAACAACATGACAAACAAACACACTCACTGCTACACCAATAGAAGAAGGAGTCATGAAGGTACAGAGACATTGAAAAGAACAACACCCACTGGGGCACAGATGACGCTACTGTTTCAAGAAAATAAAGACAAGTTTAAAATTGAAAAGTTAGTCACTGACAAACACAAACACGAATACCCATAGAGGGATTCATATAACATCAGCATCTGAACACATTCGGTGTAAAAAGTAAACGCATAGCACAGTTTCGTATCTGTTCGGAGACTTTTGATTCGAATTAGTCGCAATTGCTTTCTTTCTTATTCATACTATACAATGAGCAGTTCATTAGCAGTCGGTCGTGCATTGTCACAAGAAATGTGTAGGGATCATGACGTTGTGTAAGGATGAGGACGAAAATGCCTGGCTGCTCAGTTGAGAGTTCAAAGCGCAAGAATTTAGGAACTTCTGTTCTTGCACATGAGCGAAGTCTTGAGCGACGGAGGCGGACAGTTGTGCGGAATTGTTCTGTAAGTGTTGTTGTTGCTGCTGTTGCTGTTGTTGTTGTGATTGGCAAAGTCTTTGGTGCTGTTGGTTGTTGGTTACAGAGTTCAACTTGTTGTTGTCTGGGGAGGTAGGGGGTGTGTTGAAAGAGGAGGAAGATGTGACTGGAGTTGAGTTGAAGTTTGCAGATTCGAAAAAGTTGTCACAGTGAGCAGACATATTGAGACAGTTTTCGAAAGCTGGGTTTGATCCTCTGTCTTTAGTTTGGTTGCTGAGGAAATTGGAAAACTGCAGTTGTTGTTGGGTGTTCTGCGCTACTGTTTGCTTGGCGCCGACTTGTGATAAGTGTTGCTGCTGTTGCTGCTGCTGCTGTTGTTGGTGGTGATGCTGGAACAGAGCGGCGTCTGCGAACATAAAAGCGTCATTCACGCCAAAGCATCCCATATTTTGCAGAACGTTTTGTTGTTGTTGCTGCTGCTGCTGCTGTTGCTGTTGATGCATGATGTTGTCGTTATGAAGCCTGAGACACAGCTGCTGTTGTTGCTGTTGTTGCTGCTGTTGTTGTCCGCACAGCTGCTGCACCGTGTATCCCCCCACACCGGAGTCGCAGACCGAGACAGGTCGTTGCTGACCAACTGAAGACACGGAGCTCGGGGACATGCCACAAGACTGAGGAGACTGACCCTGCTGCAACATGTTCTCCCCCCCGTACTGATAGTTCAGCATAAAGGCGTAGTCCTCCGGATTCGGCAACTCGCGAGCTGTGACGTCATCTCTGTCTTTGTTCTGCTCCAACAGTTTGACGCTGGCGGCCAGAGCGCTGATGTAGTTACACGCGTAGCGCAGAGTCTCGATCTTGGTCATTTTGGCGTCTGTGCTGTTGGGCAGCGTTGTCCGGAGAACTTCCAGGGCCTCGTTCAGACCATGCATCCGGTTCCGCTCTCTGTCGTTGGCGCGCTGGCGACGGGAGGTTTTCAGCTTCTGGATCAGCTGCGGGGGAGAGAGAGAGGACACTGTCAAATTTGTGTTGTTGGTTGTTGTTGTTGTTGTTGTTGTTGTTGTTGTTGTTGTTGTTGTTGTTGTTGTTGTTGTTGTTGTTGGGTTGTTGGTTTTGGTTTTTTTTTTTGTGGGGGGGGGGGTGTTTCTTTCTTCGTATTTTACTATGGTTTTCATTTCAACACAATCGGTTTTATTGCATATTTTAAAAATTCACCCCAACTCCCGTCTCTTTTACACAGTGGCTTCCAGTTTAGAAAAGGAAGAAGATTTGACAATAATGTTATAGTTGAAACCAAGTTTAGACCACTTGCTTGCCACGGCAGTGTCCAAGATCATGCCTGAGCGAGAACGAGCGAATGTGAATTTTCGAGTTTGAAAATGTGATTAGCAAAAAGAGAAAGACGAAAATGTCGTAGGACATAATGATATTGAACACACTTTCAAAGGATTTCAAAACACGATTACAAAAAAATACTTACATTGAAGCTTTGTCAAAATACAAGTATAATAACATAACAGATTTAGATAACAATTTAGTAACACTACTAATATAAAATTCACGACAATGTTCAATTATAATCATTGACAAGGGAAAATGTATAACGAAACGACGATAAAAGAGACGACATAAGAACAAGTAAAGTAACCACACTCTCTATCTTCAACAGTCTACCTTCAACATTAACATCCGAAAATATACATACATGTATTAATCGGTTCATAAGCCATGCATTTCTAAGATAACAATTGCTGAAATCTGATAACCTCCTTGTGCCGTCTAGAATGATCGAAACTATTGTGTCGATGGTTTGGTAAAAACTTCTACATTTTCTTTTCTCATTTCTGTTTGATTATTGCAGCCAATGAGCCTGAGGGGATTACCTCCCCGGTATCTGCATAGTAATGCGCGTGCATGATGAGTCACTCGGGGAGGGGAGTGGGAGGGAGGGGAGGGAGAGAGGAGAGGAGGGAGGGGAGGGGAGTGGGCCCTAATTTGAGGGAGAGTCTCCAGGGAGGCCACACCGACAGCTCGGCCGTTTGTCTATCGATTTCCGGTGTGGAAGTGGCGGGGG